GGAAATTATTCCAAGAGGTGGGAAGCCAAGAAAGGGAGTGAAAAAGGTGTCCCTGCCTGGGAGCCTCAATGAAGAAGCCATCTCCCTGGAAAAAAAGAAAACAAAGCATTGTGGTCATCCTGGCAACTTTAAATCTGAAAATTTAAGACAGCGGCAGAGAAATCGGCACCAGTCAGTTCCCCTCCTCAGCCAGAGTCTGGCCAGGGAAGGGGAGACAGCAGCAGGCCCTGGGCAGGCCACGCTGCATCCCCTCAGCAGCAGATATCACCACGATGCAACGCCATTAAATTGTCAATCAAGTTTAATGCATCATAAAGAAGTAAAACTACATTGGCATATTTAAGACAAACACTTTTTTTTTTTTCTATGCACACTATCCACTGGACAGTCCCCTTTTCAAAATAACTACTTTTAACAGTCCAAGACACTTCTTCAGAAATTCTTCACATATTCAACCTTCCACACTTTTCCTTTTTATTATTTGTCTAAGAAGGAAAAAAAATCATTGAACCTGAAAACGTTTACATTGCAAGCCACGTTAGAATGCATAATTGGCATACAATAACCAATGTATAACAATTGTGTTTTACTTAGTTCACTTTGTTCATCAATAAAAGAATATAAAAATCTTGTTCAACCGAGTGTTGTGTATTAAAATAGATTTGTTTAGTACTGCACAGTTTCTCCCGGAGTTGTGAAAATGGTAGAAGGGACCATGGGCTGCCTAGTGATGGGCGACAGAAAAAGCCAGTCCCTTGAGTGTTTTGTTTTTTTCTTTTTTTTTTAAATTAAAAAAAAAAATAAAAAGAAAAGCTATTCGGCACCATGTGATACACTGATGTGAGAGACTAGCCTCGTGTCATGCCCAGGTGGCTTCTTGCTTTCCTTAAGTACCTGTTGTGCTAATTGACAGAGAACTCATAAATGACAGAGACGATGGCATCTGGTGTGTGTGTGAAGTTGAGAAAAACTGGGGTGCCCATCACTATCTTCCCGGGCAGGCCGCAGGGTGATGGGGGGGGGGGGAAAAAACAGAGGGGCCAGGTAGACCCTTGCAGTATCAGGAAGACTAGCTAGTGAAACAAGCAGGTGCACTGGGATTTTCTCAGGCTTAATGCTAAACACTTCCCAAATGTGCTAAAATCCAACAAAATATTAAAAAGGAATCAAGTTTCCAAAAAAGCCCCAGCAAACCCTTTACATTTTCCACGGCCTGTCCCTCCCCCAGAACTCTTGATATTATCCAGTATAAGAAACAACCCCTTGAGGCAGTTTTTTTTTTGTGTACTATTTCAGCAGATTATTTCTGCAAGCAAAAAAGAAAAAAAAAAATCACATTACATATATTTAATAATAAAAACGCAGTACAAAAATGTAAAGTTATCTTTTTGGCATATTATCTGTACTGGCAATAAACAAAAAACCAGAATATTTATTTGCTTTTTTTCTTTAAAAAAAATTCCAAAATTAACAAAAAAGTAAACCCCCGAAATAATCTCTCTAAAAACTGAAACCCAACCTGCCAAAGATATCCACTATTATGGTTTATGCTAAATCTTGCACAAAAACTCCATGAGAAAAATACACCAATAGCAAAATAAGTAAAAAGGACCTGCAAAAAAGTAAGGAGTTTTACAGTCATACTTTTTTAAATACTTCGGAACGCATATACAGAAGCATCAGCATGAAAATACTTCAATATTTTACTGGAAACGCTAACTTCATACAGTTTCTTTATTTAAATATCTGCAATTATCAACTCTAATAATACTGGGAAAAAAAAAAAAGAAAGATCTTTTGTTTCGAAGGCTCTGTGAGTGTTCACGATGCCGTACCAGTCAAGACGGCCCCATCTCCAGGTCACCTGAATCAACGGGGCCAGCTTTGCTCCTCTGATAAGAATCCATGTCGAGTCCCAAGTAGTTCAGTTTCTGGTCATCTCACCGATTTCCCTCTTACAGCTTTCAGCCCAACTACATCTCTACTAGCTCACTAACTTTGCATTGAACATTTCCCCCTTAAAGCAGAACTGGAAACCTGTCTGCCCCCCACAAAAGGATATCCCGCTTCCTATCGGCCATACTTTCTCCTCTTCATCCTCAGTCATAAATACATTAAGGCCAACATAACAAAAAAAAAAAATCTCATAAGCGCTGAAGGTCTCTGCAAATACAAAACTGCAGCACGACCGCTCCGTGGGAACCTGCTGCCACAGTGACCTACAAACTGGGCCGATTGGTTTGCAAGTTTCTACGCCGATCAAAACTCCTTGTTCCTTCTCTCCTTTGTTTCAGTTTAATCTCTCCTCTGCGCATGTGTATAAAGTTTTTTTTCTCCCCCCTTCCTTCACTCTCTCGCAGCCGGCTCTGTCAGTTGTTACCCTGTGATTGCTGCAAGGCTTTGTGCATGGCAGCGGAGGCAGGGGAGGGTTTGATCCAGGGGACAGTTAGCAGGGAGGAGGTGGTGGTGGTCGTCATGGTAACCTGAATCATCTGCTCGTTTTGTATCAGTCTAATGAGGGTTTTGAGACGTTCCAGTGATGACTGAGTCCCTTTCTGCTGGGCCAACAGGCTGGTTTTTAGCTCTAAGCATTTCTGTCAAATAAAGAGAAGGGGAGAGAGAAAGGAAGACTGAGAACACATCCAAATTGGTGTCAAACATCTCTCCAAACATCCTTTTGTGTCTTGAGTGCACGTCCTGCTCAAATGAAATATATTCTCCTTTGGGGATAGCAAAACCACAGCTTAACGAATGGAGTAATCACCAGTGCTGCATACACTGCGGCAGCTGTCTAAGGTAACAATATTCATCCCCGTCCAAACACATTCAGAGGACGTTTCTGACCTCATCCCGTAGACAGCCCGTCAGAAATGCCTTCTGTGTTCCAGAGAGATTACTGGCACGGGGTCATAATAGCTGTATTACCTGAAAGTACCGAAAGCACCAGTGAGGTCTCTAAATCTTACTAAAAGGAATTGATAAACATTTGAGAGAGAAACCTCACCATGATGCATTTTGTACGTGTCACACGTTTTAGGGAGTCAGTACTGTGAAGGTAAGTTGAAGTCTCTGTGCATGATATCAATATCTTTCTGGCAGAAAACTTGATCTAAGACACTACTGTTACACCACTGCAGTGGCCAAACTGCATCCCACGATCACTTGAAATGTTCCATACAAACCCACGTGAAAAATGAGCACGAGAGCAGGAGCCAAACAAAGGCATCCCAAATCTCCCTCTTCTCCAAAAAGAGATAAGGAAGAACCAGCAACTGCCCTTTCCCTCCCCATCCACATACTGCTGCAGCTAACATCTCATCCTCTACAGTATCAACTGGCCTGCGAGGGACTATGTGACAGTCCAAAACCGTGAGCCCATCTGCTAGAAGGAAAGGGATGGTGGCCATTCTACTATCTGAACCATCCATTTGCCTTCTCCCACTGGTCCCAAGGGTCTGGCAAAACTGGTTACTTCTCTGCAGATTGCTCCTCTCTGGCTGCCTGGGGTGGGGGGATTCTCCAGTCCTGGGTAAGTGGGAAATGCTCATTTGAAAGTCAAGTTGTTTAAAAAACAACTATGTGGAGCTGCTCGAAGCTTAGTTTAGACAGATGAAACTTCAGGCAAAGGATAAATCATGTTCTGTTTTTACCAAATAATACCATTCCACCTGTGGTGTCTATGAGTGTTGTTTTTAATGTAAATGTCTGTTAAGGCAAATGTCAGAAATGGAATTGCTCTGTGTTGGAACACCTTTAATTGCTTTTCGCCTTTCAAGGGGATATATCTCTGATAAATATAATCATTGGCTGATATTATCTTTAAATAAGACAGTGTTGCCCAGTGAAAGAACCCAATTTTGCTTAGGTAGAAATCTTCATGATTTTGACAGCCCTGACATACACCTGATAGCTGACTGTATCCCCAAATGCTTTTGGTTTTCTGAACACCTCATCTCACTGCACTTTCCTACTTGGTAAAGATATTCCGCACCCCAGAGTCACTTCTTCATACATATGTGTGTTTCCATTAGTGCTGATGGTGGCTACACAGACTTACAGGGAATGTTCCCCGCTGTGATGTCTTTTAATAAGTTATTGGTTTTCTTTCTGCTCTATTTTAAATGTAGTAAATATTTTAAATGCCTCCTCTGGATAACTGCAGTGGTAAAACAAGTAGTGACCAGTTACTCCTGCAGCTGCCACTTCCATTTTTCTAGGTAAGGAAGTTTCAAATATTTATTGAGACTGCCATGCAAGCTGACAGCTACCCTGTAAGAGTGGGCCTGAGGTGAGGTAGCCCCAAATACATTCCTTGAGCCACGGAGGGCAGGAATTACAGCTTTGAACCCAGCCCATTCATTACTCTCAGGGACTGGTCCTCATAGCATGGTATGTGTTGGAGAGGTCTCCAACCAACATTTAGCTTTGAAAGAATTTCCCAGAAAAAAATTACTGTGGACCGATTTCCAGCCACGGAGTGACTGTTATTACAACATTCAGCCCCTGAGACAAATAAAGGTGGATATTTCTACCTGATCTCAAGAGTTTTGAGCTAATGGACAAGCAGCTACCACTGGAGGACACACCTGTCACTAAACTTTTCACCTGGAGATTGGAAGTGCCTAAAAGTCACTGGGAAGATCAGAGCTGTGTATGGTACTACAAGGAACACAGCCACAACTATTTTGTGGGGTTTTTTTGGTGTGCAACAGAAATTCAGGTGATTTCTCCTCCTCAGTCTGTCAAAGCAGCTTGCTTTTGTGCATAAAGGAAATCCACCTGTTTTCTCCTTGGAGAGAAACACATTCACACTTGAACACTTGTAGCTTGGAAGCATAGATCATTTTATAGCCACAAAATATCAGGTTTTCGGGTATAAATTCTCTGCAGGAACCTCTGTGTCCCCATTTAGGTGTCCTACCTTCACTGCATTGTTCAGAAGTCGATCTTTTTCTTCTAACTGTCTGTGCTCACTCTTCAGTTCACTGCTTCTCTTCAATAACTTTCGCTTCTCTTCTTCTTTGACTGCAGAACAATAAGATTGAGAATGCAAAAGTTAAGAAAAGGACATGAGGCAAAACTGTGCACTTGACAACAGAAAGAAGCACGTATTTTGAATGGTGATTTTCAGGTCTCATTAGCCTTTTGTCAGCAGGTACAGCCAAATAAAACTGAAGTTTCTGCTCGCACGCGTGCATCTACATCAACAGCTAGCATGCTGGACAACCCAAAAGCTATAGCGCAGCTTTGAGATGAATTAGAATTAATCGTTGGACCACATGTGGTCCTGGATGTCTCCAAGAAAAAGGTGAATGGTATTTACGAACAGCTCAGCCACTTGGAATGGCAATAATTAGCAATCTTGGCTGAAAAGCACAGTCATAACAGTACCAGACCTCCGCAAAGCTCCTTACAAATGTGATCTAAAGATCCAAACAGCCCACTGTAAGAGTGTAACATGGAACTAAAAAAGAGTAATGGTCAGCGCACAGATATCATATGACATCTGATACTGTGATCCCAAATAGTACCAAAACAATTTGAGGTTGATATTGCTGTATGAGATACGAGTCCAGTATCATGCTATGTACCCAGTGACATGGCTCTGCCTAGCCTGATCGTGTCTCTCTGCCTCTCATCCTTCATATAATTCTGCCTCAAAATCTTGTTTTCAGCCCTGTTCACAGGAGGGCACCCACTTTGATAACAGCCTTCTCCACAGAGTGAAGTTTCTAAGAGATCCTTCTCAGCTTCCTTAAAGAGAGAAGACAGAGAAGGAGCAGATCGAGAGGAAGGGGACAGAAAGCGACCTGCTGTTCCCAGTCACAGCCCCTCATGGCCCTTTGCTTAATAATGCCATCATACCTGGTAGCATTATGGCACTGCTTGAATATTAGCGCTATGAAGGACTCAAATGGCAGCGCCCATCAGGAGCAGGGAATCCCTTGTCAATAGCTGTGTTAATCCCTACCTGTTTTATGAGTAACATAGGAGTGAACAATAGCCAGAGTTCCAGTCCATGGCACATTGTCATCTTTCTTTAACACCTATAAGCCCAGGAAACAATAAAAAGTTAGGACTCTGCAAAGGCACACATCAATGTTTTTCCTCCTCCAGCCTCACAGCTCTGCAGGACCAGATCTAGGATCCTTGTCTCAGAATTCACAAGCTGAAAAGTAACGAGAGAATAATTTGAGTAGCTGTCTCCATTGGGGCTTCCTCCTTTACACTATAAACAGCACTATGAAGCAGTGCCAAAACAGGGTAACAAATCCGCTGTTTCTTGTTGCTGTGGCCCGCAGACCTTCTTCAGCCCCTGAGAAGCAGATCTCCACACTGTCAGGAGTGTTGTCTACTCAGCATGGGAGAAGTAGCTGGTCCATTTGAAAACGTGATTGGGGGGATCTAATCCTGGGCTGCTCTACTCTCTGCAACTGTATGTTAGAACCCCTCCTTGACATTTTCAAAGGAACATAACCGTGTTCTCATTGCTAAGCACAAAGAATTCTAAGGCACAAAATCTAAGCCTCCACTCTACAATTTAGTGACACTAGTGTTTTAGTAATTGTTTTCCTGTTCATGCAATCAGCATTATTCACAGCAACTAGACAAATTAGCATTTCTGACACAACTATGATCAATAGTTGTGTGTAATAAACATGATTTAAAGAAAAAGAAGTGTTCTTCTCAAGCTTTCATATCCACTGGCGAACAGTGTCTCCTTCTGACACTGTCTCCCTCATCTATGAGATTTACATTACTTGTCTGGCAACTTACATCCTGCTGGCTTTATTGTAAAGCAGGGAAACAAAGGAAATGAAAAGACATTTTAAAAAGACAAATCTCACCAGATGCAATTACAGGGAAGGAAGTCACTCAGCGTATGTGCTAACCCTAGGACGATGAAAATACCAGAAACAAATGCTGCAACCTTTACTAAAAGCCTCTCAGTATTAATGTAGTTAACGTAGTCCCCTAAGCTGTGACCATAGGTTAGATTAGTTTTGTGGTACGTGAAGAATTTGAGGTTTCTGCCATTTTCTTTTCTTGGCATGCTATGGTTCATGTAGCTTACCTTCTGTTGGCACTTTGGACAGACCCAAACCCCCTTGGGGGCAGTTTTGAGAGGCGGGTCCAAGCAGTTGAGGTGATATGCTCTGGGACACGTGCCACAGGGTTGCAAGTTAACACCACGCTTGCAAGCAGTGCAGTGCTCATCATGATGGATCTCATTCTGCAAGAGAAGAAGGATGGCTTGAGTAAAGTCAATCATTTGAGAACTTGTGTTCAAATGAGCAGATAGGCTCATTCAAACACAAAATCTAATTGTCAAAAGGACCCTGGCTGCTGTCGGAGACGGCAGATAAAATGGTGTATGAGAGCAACAAATACAAACAATCAAGCCAGAAGCAAGTTGGATAAATTGAAACAGATAGAAATAAAAACCAACTAATCAAACACAGGAGGGAGTCAACTAACATTACCAGCTTGTGATATAGGAATTACTTCACTTGGTTTTGATAATGTGTTGCTCCAACGCTCATACCACCATGTGCAGCTTTGTTCTGAAGCATGGGTCAAAGTCGGTATATGGATCACTTGCCCTTTAAGTCCAAAGCAGAAGGAAGCAAACGAGAAAAGCTTCTGAAGAAGAAGCACAGCTCCATGTTTTATGCCCACTGCCTCAAAGAGCAGCTACGAAAACGATATGCTGGGGTACAACCCTTTGCTCAGTACCCTCACTTGTGAACTCCTCTAGAGGGCTCCTCTGTCCTTCTGTTCTCCCTGGCACTAATTGTTCAGACTTGCTCTGACAACCCTTCTCCAACAAGAATGATTAGTACTTTGTCTGCAGCAATACATAAAATGAACTAAGACTCGTCAACAAAGTTACAATGTCATGTAGTAAATTGCTATGCTAATCTGGTGGCAACGTTAATTACTCTTTGTATAATTAAGTGCATTTTAATAAGGAGATACTGATTTTGAAACTCTCATGGCTTGTGAATTGTTATAAAAAAACTTAAATTTTCCTAGTGCTTTTCCAGGAAGCAGAATAATTATTTTGTACCTTTGTTAATTCCAAAAGCATATTTTAATTTTTAGGGTTATTAATTATAATGTTTCATGATAGTTTTAGTCAGGCTTATATCTCGAATTTTAACACAGTCCTGTCAAAAATTGCTCTCCAAATACTACTCTTTAGAAATTACCTGCTCAAAAAGTTTTTATTTTAACCTTAACGTAAAGAGATTTAATCTATACAAACTAGAATGGTTACTGATTTTTCTTAGATTTTTCATCAAAAGCACAAATCTGGACTAGCAATTTCTCCCTACAAAGGGATTAAACTCAAGCCTTGCATATGAAAGACCAAGAGTTCACCTCTTTGAAATTCTAACTTAGGGGCTCAGAGATTTAATGTTCCACACAAGCAGTATTAAAGGCAATGAGAATATCGCAATTTTGTACCTTGATAGGGACTACAATAATCAGAGGCAAGCACTGAATTATACGGTGATGAGAAAAGACACTGGTAATACACAAATTTTGCTACACATACCTTCCAGAATGGATCCTCATTTGCTAGCATATGAAAGAAGGGCAGAGAACAGATTAGTGGGAAATACATTGCTGCAGCGAAAGCTAGTTCTCAACTATCGGAGTAATTTTAGTCAAGCTGTGACACAGGAGATCAGGACAGGGCCAAAATTAACGCAGGCAGGAAAGAATGCCACAGCAGGTCATGGAATTAGCATTTGAGGTTTAAAAATTTACCCTGCAGGAATCCCAAGTCCAAAGGCCTGATGCCCAAATGTCATAGTATGAGAAGCACATTCTATTCCAAATTCTCAGAGATTTTCTTGCGGAGCTTCTCGTCACATATGAGCAGTTAATAAGTCTTTCTTAAGGACTTCAGCCTGCTTGGTGATGAGCAGTCTGGCCCTGAACCAGCAAGGCACTTAAGCAGGCACTTAACTTTGAGCATGAAGTTGCTCCCACTGACTTACTGTTAAACACATGCTTAAATATTCAGCTAATTCAAGGCCAAAATGGTCAGCTACTTGCAAGAGTGAGCTTTATGTTACCATCAACTCTTTATCATCAAACTACTACCACCCAGAACGCCAAGATTTTCTGACCTTTCGATGAACTGCGTCTGTCATGATTGCACTCGCAGCCTGGTAAGAACATGAACCATCAGCGCTCACTGGAAAGCGGGCCAAGCGTTTCATAAAAATATTTGTGAAATTCATCACACTTTGGTCCAAAAATAAAAAACTGGGATATTTTAACAGCTTTCTGTGGGTTCTAAGCCTTGCTGCTGATTTGTAAGAGGCTGGTGCACACTGTCCAAGTGACAAACAGCTGATGCAAAGGCCTTTCTCCAGATTAAAGCAGAGACAACCAAACTAGTATTTCTCTCCTTCTGTCCTTCAGGTCCCTCTCAGATCACAATGGGAATACAGCAGCCCCAGTGTGATCACTCAGACACAGATGACCTGGGAGTCGCTTCCTGCTGTTACACATTCATTTTATACCCTGATGTATGCATATACGTAAAGATGCAGACACATTCAGACCTCACACACATAGAAAGAGGAATGCAAGAATGAAGGAACAGTGTCACCTAAGTTAGACCAAAGGCCTTAAAGTATCCAGAGCTGCTACTCACGCACAGAGTGCAACAACAGGGTGAGCACAGAATAAATTTTTCTGCTCCAGAAGTATCCTTCCAGATGCTAGCAGTTTATGGGCTTCCCTAGCCTGGAGTTTGCATCTTCATTATTACATTTAACAGCCTTAGATGGATTTTTTTTCTTCCATATATTTGTCTGATTTTCCCAACAACTGTAGCATCCTTTGGCAATGAGTTCCATAAATAATCACAGACTTATAAAATCTGTAGATGTCACTTTGTATACACAAATACACACACAGAGAACCACCATGATATGACATGATGATTACTCAGGGGATATAAACATTATTCAGAAAAACAGAGGCTTGATAATTGAAGAGTCTTTTCTACAAATGATACGTGTCAGGGGATGTGACCTCATTTCAGGTAAGACATTTTCAGATAAATGAGTAGTGATTAATTGACATTTTGCTCAAAATTTACAAGAACCGTTCTCTTCTGCATTTCTGGAAATGACAGTTGTTCCCTGTACTTCATAGGGATTTTTTTCTTTGTTTATTTCTCTTTTCAGCTCACTTTTACTATAAAGTTTTTGAACACTTTAAAATATGTCCACTTCTGCCTTCCAGTTGCTGAAAAATTAAACTGAAGGCAATTCACACCTTTTTTGAGGTGTGTTTTATAGGAGAAAGGGCAGTCAGGTCTGCACTGAAGGTGGGTAACTACATCACTGCAGAGCCAAGCTGTCTAGAACAGCATCTGTCTATAGATCAGAGCTTACACAGCATCGAGCACAATGGCTAACAAACCCCTACTGAGGTGGGGAGTTCTGCTATAAAGAAGTCCAGCTTAAAATTGTTGGAGTATCCCAGCACAGACTCCAGATGCTGGAAAAACCAAAGATATAGGACTCAAAAAGGAATTAACAATTAATTAGAGAGAGCTAATTTCCAAGTGGCTCTGAGACAGCCGCATCAGCGAAGCTCTGTCACTTGCCTGCTTACTTGTAAATAAAAGGGGAAATGTGGCAGAAAGAAGGCCAGAGATATCAAACCCCAACTTAAATGAAATCCACCAAGAGGCTAACAGCATGGCTTGCTAACATTGCTATTCTCTTCTGCTTTTTCCCATGTGTTTACATGGGAAAAACAAGTGCTATGATAAGACAAATAATAAATTATAATTTTAATTTTGAAGATAAAACTAAGCCAGGAATAATGTTCTGTCCACTGGGGTTCACATGAGCATAGGCAAGTCATAGCTGTTTACTGTGTAATAACCTTTCTTATCCTCTGAGACCCTATGCATTAGAGCCATATGGTAAGTAGGCCAACTGTCTGCACCTAGCACGTGAAGTTTTGAAGGCGGAGGGAAGCACTACTGCATTTCGGCTGGGTAATCCTGCGGCATAGGAATTCAAGGCAGGGCCCAAAAGATAAATTTCAAGCACTACACATGACACTTGATGAGGATGTCAAGCAAACACTGAAAAAGTGTCCAAACTTCATGTCTCAGTTGAAATTACCCCTCAAAATGCTCCTAATGCTGAAATAATACTTGGCTTAGAAAAAGACCAGTCTTCCCTTACCACTAACACACCCACAGTAGAGTCCAAGTTATAAAGGGAACACAAGGGCAAAGTCATAATCGAATTTCTTTACTGGCTTTCTCTCCATTTCTGAAATCCAACTCAAGCTTCTTGCTTTCCCTTCTTAAAATTCTACATGGCCCTCGTCTGAAGAATTAAACTGTATTCAATGTTCTCCATGTTTCATCTCCCACCTCCCAACTCTTTGCCGCCTTTAAATGTTGCATGTTTTGCCTGGACTTCTTCACACTCATCACCACCAAATGGCTCTGAGTTGTTCATTCTCAAGACGTTTACCATGAAATTTCAGCAGTTCTTATAAGGACAAGATTGGAAGGCATCTTCAAGGCCATCAAATCTAGATTTATGGCTTCAGCTGTTGAAAAATTATATGGTTTTTCAGGTGTTGTTTTTAAAGCAAAAGGTATGATAAATTTCTAGCCCTTGAGGATGAACAATAGTTTCTTAAAGCTGATGAAGAGAGACAAATGAAAACTCTAGTGTAATAATGATTTTTCAAATCCCAATTTTTCAATACATATTTTTAAGCACTTGGGGTTGGCAACACTGCCTTCTTCAATCAGTCCTCTCACTGCATGGTGCTCACAATATTAGAGATGAGATTTTCCGCTGATTGCAGAGACTTTGGATCCGTTTCTACACGTTTTTGATCCATTTCTACAGATTTTTGACCTTTAGCCTTACCCTTCAATTGTTTTTGCAGGAAAACCATCTATTTTCATTGCACACTAAAAAGTGCCGGGACCTTACATAAAGTAATGCCCTATGGTACCCTAGCAGTAATACATATGAAATCCTGCTAATAAATATTTAACATGTCATCAGAATAGTAGTATATTCATTTTAAAATATGCTTACCTCTTGTTGAAAGGAACAAGGGGTTATTCAAATAATTTGATGCAAGGCGTTTCCGCTACAAGAGAAAAGAAACACCACAGTGTCATTGAAAAGTGCCCTCATTGTCTATTGCCATTTCATATTAACCATCTCCATGAGCTTCCCTCATACATAACCGGCTATCCAGAAGCCAGTCCTGTGACTTAGAATATTGCTAACCCCTGAGACAGTCACACAAACAGTTGCATTATTTACCTTTCTAAGTTCTTCACAGAGCAGGTAGATGTGCATTAGATTTTATTAACAAGAGAGAAACGTAAATTGCAAATGTTATTGATTGGGCAGCTGGATATGTTGCAGAGGTTGGGAAGAGCAAATTAAACAAAATGTTGCTGTGAGATGACATCTTTATTTGCATGTATAGAAGTGGTGATGGGCTTCTCACCCTCAGACAAATGTCACTACCTTATGTGACACCTGCCTACAGATCACAGGAACACATTTTGTTTGCAAGCAACGTATTAGGGTCTAAGCAAAATATTTCTTTCAGACGTTAATACATACAACCTCTAGGAGTTGGCAGTGATTTCTGTCTCCTGAGGTCACCAAAGATTTTCAAACTTACAAATACAGACCACTGGAAATCTGACTGAGATGTTTAACTCCTTCAATGCAACCCATCGCAGGCTGTTGGTCAATAGCAAGACAGGCTTCATTAACAGTCTATATAACCCCTAATTGTTTCTTTGAGCCATACAATCCTTGTCCAACAGGAGTGGAAACAGTACCATTTTCCTCCATTAGACGTTGTTAGGCTTTGCTTGGAGGAAAATTAGAGGGGTTTTGCTAATAAATGATTTATTCTGTTGTGAGTAAACTGTTCTCTTACACACAGGTTCCTGCTAGCCTGTTAATGAATTTTGAGTAGATGCTTCTGCCTTCAAAAAATGCCCAGCCTGAAATTTAACCATTTCCTATGGAAAAAGAAAGAAAAATAAGAAAGAAAAAAAAAAGCTACCAAAGGTGGGAAAATAGAATGGTATCTCATTATTTTTTTAAAGCAAAAAGCCTCAGAAAGAAAAATAAAGCATAACATGCAACTGGAGACATGAGACCATGATCACATTTTTGTAATCAAGGAAGTTAGCATCACCGCTACAGATGTTGGGCTCCTGCCGCTTTGAGGGGCATTGGCAAATAAAAAGTCTAATTTATATGCAATTTCAATTTAAACAATCATGAATTAAAGATCATTCAGTAGACTAACCGTAAATTAAACTGCACCAAAATGCCTGAAATGCCACAAAATACCTCAACTCACTGATTAGCAAATCAATCTGAGCAGCTAATTGATCAGAGTAAAACCATCTGCCTCCATTTTGCTTGAATGGCATTCCCCATGGTCAGCGCTTAATGACAACTCCTAATGAGGACACAGCTGATCAGCCACAGGACTCTTTCACAGGCATGTCTTTCTCCATGACATCTTCCACTTCAGGATATGCTTTTGAGAATAGATATAATGAGAAGAACGAACTAAGGGTGCAGCAGACCTTCTCCATTGCTTCCTCCATCCCTGCTCCAAGATAACTGAGTTTCTCACAAACACCCATCAGACTACAGCCACAAAACTCTCCTGCAAGTATTTTAATAAACTCCGCGGGACAAAAAGGTCTAAGACAAGACCCTACAAATTCAGTGTTAGCATGGCTGAGGTTCCTACTGTGTTAAATACTGGATGTATGGCTATCAGTATTTGCTCCATAGAGGCTGCTAGAGAAAAGTTGAGGAGTCCTGAAGAATTCAAGTGCCCAGAAATGCTCTGGAGTATAATAATCCCCAACACTTCCAAAAAAAAGAACAATCAAGCCACTACGCAGCTTGACTACAGTGGTGGGTTTCTTCTCAGCCTCATCTGTCTGCCAACAAAACCAGAAATCTGACATGTTGGCATACCAAAAATTCTGCATTGCTTGTACCTAAATAAAGAAAAATCACTTTCTTTAGGCTTAAAGAACTCAGAACACAGAGAAGTCTGGCTTAAATGGAGAGCTGGCTGCAAGTCAGTTTCATTCCTGTAGGTAGTTCAAATAGTAATCCCAAACTGTGGTGAAATTTTAAAGGTAGAATTTTAATAACCTGAATAAATGCTTGTATGTCATTTCAGAAACAAAGAAAAAACAATTTCAGGAGAAGTCTATTTATATTCCATTTTTACACCAGGTTTGCAATCCAATATTACACAGGACCAAATTTTGCTAACATAGTAACAGACAACAGAGATTATCCAGAGCATTTCATTTTTAATTATGCATTATTATATTTATTATGCAGGCTTCCATACCGCCTGCAGAGTACACTGATTCTTAAACCAACACACCCCTTTTATGAATGTCACTAATAAAAAAAGCAAATTTCCTCATTTATAATTTGGCACATAGGAAAAGAGAAAGAGCGATGCAAGTTTGAATGTAACACAGCACTTTTGTTCTTCAGTTCTGACCTAAAGGGACTGTCTGCGTGGGTGAAAGAGTAATTATGTCCCACATTAATTTAGTCCTTTTGGTCTTTATTAAAACTAAGATGAATTCTCATTTGAAGCAAGTGATGTTGTGGGATGAAAACCTGTTGCTTAGCTACTGTGATGAGATCTTTTCCTTCTTATCCACATCAATATGTCTTTACAAGTAAATTTGCGGGTCTGCATTCATATATACTTTTGTAACAGGAAACACTTAAGCCTTTTATTGAGATGAAATAGAACTGTGGTAAAAAAAGTGAATTATAAAGTACCTCTGTTTCCAAGAGTCCACTGTAGGCTGGATTTGCTGTGCTTCTTCTCTTTCTTTCCTGACGCTTGCTCTGGATTTCTGTAACGATGGAAAGAAACATGAATTGTGTGTTTCTCATTCATCAGGGAAAAATGTAGATCTAACTTGTTAAGCAAGATGCTCTTATCCTCAACCCCTTGGGCTTTGTGTTCAGTTTCAGTCTAAAGTGTAATTGAGTTGCATCAGCATTGATATTTGCTACAGTTCAAGGTTTGACATTAATAAGCTTTTCCTTGTAAGATTCAGAACACAGGCATTTTTTATTTTTCCTTCCTCAAAGCTGGACTTGTGCTGCCCTGCAAGATTTTTATTGTGATCCTTTCAAATGCATACTCAGCAAGCAGCAACAGAGAGCTTTCAAAATACTATCAATGTCTGCTATTAACAAAAATGAAACATTCAAAGCAGTTAAACCGTATAATTCATATCAGATGAAAGCATAGAGATCCTTTTAAATTTAATATATATTATTTTTCCTTAAGTGGAGGTTAGAAAAAACATGGTCAGAACAGCACGGCTAGGTTCAGTTCTAACTAGGGTGTGATGATTTATCCATCTAAAAATACACAACTTCACAATCCTGAGCATGCAAAATGTTGTTTTGAGACGTAAGTGTATTTGTGTCACTGGAAACAACAGTGCAAAAAGAGGCTCATCAAATTGCAGTCCTATTTGCAAAAGGGTGAAACACAAGGGAACTCCCTTCCGCTAAAAGGTAACACCTATTCAAGTCAGTATTTGCAGAGGACTGCATTTAGCAACAATTAGCCACGTGCATATTTCTGTAAACACACATAGAAAGAGCGGATTCCTCAACCACTGAAATCTGCAGGTTTAACACTACTTTCATCTGAGCTAGGATCTCATTTCTCTCATATGGAATTTCTTTTTCCAGCTCCTGACATCGGTTCAGAATGGTGAGTTATTATAACCATGTATTTTAGAGCCTACTTTGTATTTTGATAATAAAGTAAGAGCAGACATACTTTAGCAAGGAGAGCCATCCAGCATCCATCCCATGACATAAAGTGTGCACAGGTGGGCTGAAGCTCTATTCCAAAATGTTTCCTACAAGAATATTGTAAAGGCAAAGTTTAGACTCTGCACTGAGGTGCCAGAGGGATCTTGTTAGCCTAAATGCCTCTGTGATGGTGATACATTCAATCTGTCTTCATAGAGTCACAGAATGTTTTGGGATGGAAGTGACCTTTAGAAGTCATGTAGTCCAAGCCCCCTGAAGTGAGCAGGGACATCTTTAACTAGATCAGTCAAGCTCTAAGTAAATATCTCAGGCTGAGAGGAACTGAGCTCTTCAGCTCAGAGGACCAGGGGAACACCCAATGGAAACTCAGGACACCATCTGATTCTGCTGAAGGTCTGGCATCTTGCATCAATGTTTGAACTAAGAAGGTCTAACTCAGAACATCCTCAGCACCAGAAAATGGCCTTCAGGTTATGAGCACTATTTGCCACTTGCAATCCAACAGTAAGATGCAGTCCAGCTTTCAAGATGTTTCCAATACATGGGAACTGGATTCCCAACACATAGTTCTGTTTTCCAGGCACTCGTTCCAAATGTCAATCAGTTCCCCACAGAGTAAAAGGGGCCACGCACTACTTTAAGCATTGCTACAGTAAATGATATTAGTATTGTCAACCATGTCTTGGACACTGTGTCCCTAGAGAAGGGGCCAACACTGCACGGATTTTTACCGACCTGAGTTCCAAGATACCAAGTTGAAACTTTGCATTCACAAAAGACTACTGGCTAAGCCACCACTCTTAAGAGCGATGGATGTATTGGAAGGAAACTGGATAGACAAGAAAAACAGAAGAGCAACTGCTTGCATATTCTGGCTGGGCTTTCCCACTGGCACAGGAATATGCCACCCCTCAGGCTCAGAAGGTGTCTTCTCCTAGGGCAATTCAAAGAGTACAGGCAGGGCTGTATTCACAGAGACAACATCCCC